CGCGGTGGCGGCGCAAGGGCAGTCCTGGTGGTCAGCAGAATTTCACTATTAGACTATATAACATAATAACTGTAACACTAATATACGTACTACTACTACTACTACTACTACTACAATACCTTATAATACTATAAAATTAGAACACTGTTACTGTAGTACTATACATAATGCGATAGTACTACACTATACAGGCTAGAGAAGGGGCTTTAGCAACTTTAGGGTTTGGTTTTTGGTGTTATGGCTTTGAGATGTTCCTTTGGGTTTCGGACGCTGGCTTAGCGGTTCAGCGCTGACTTCAGACGACCAGGCCTTTAGGGGTTTAGTTTAGGGTATAGGCTGGTGTAGGGCTTCGTGGTTTGAAGGCCTTTTTCCTTCAGCCAACACCAAACCGCTGCTGTTTGCGGTGGGAGTCAGCGGTGGCTGTAGCTTTCAAACAAGCCCAAACCCCCTGAAGGCCTCTTCGTGGGCGGCTCTTCCTCTGCCGTCGCCCTGCCAAATGGTGGTTAGGACTCTGATTCCTTCCGGGGGTTTTGGTGGTTGGCTTTGGAACTTGGGGCTTAAGTTCGAACCACCGTGCCTGTAGTGGGTAGGATTTCGGGGCTCAGACCCCAACTCTATGCATTTCCATCTCAATCCACATGCTGCTGAGATCCCAGACACAGACACACACACACACACCGAAGCATAGGAAAAGACTCGCACATACAGAGCTACAAACTTGGGCATCAAATTCCCGAGCCAAACAGACACACAAACAAAGAACAACAAGCAAGCACGCCAGCACGCCAGCAAACATCTATGCATGCATGCATGCATGCATGCATGCATGCATGCGTTGGTCACCTCTAGGCTGCAGTACCGATTTCCGATTACACGCACAAAACTACAACACTTCGTTCTTGGATAGAATCGAAGTTTAAGACTAAAATCCCACTGCTTCACATCTCTTTGGTAAGCGCAAGATCTTAAGAGAGCATGCGCGATTTACGGTGGTCCCGGCACTTTAGCAGGGGTCGGCGTGCGGAACAAACAATCGAGCTGCGCAGACGTCTGTGTAGCGCAGAGTCTTTGCATGCATGACGCTACTGCATGCAAAGACTTCTGCCTGGCGTCAATCTGGCATCTGAGACTTCCTGTGCCTTGCGCAGAATCTGCACAAGCCCAACAAGTTGAGCCTTTGACAAAAACGTGCTGCTGCTTTACTAATTCGTTCTCATCGGACCTGCACAGCCAAGAAAAAGAAGCAAGCAGCGGCGGCGCCAGCAAGAGCACGCACTGCAATCAATGCAAACAACCTGCGAATCAGCTGCTAGAGCGTATCATAAGGGTAATTTAAGAGCACTATGAGGCCTACGGTACTCTATATGGTATCCCTACGGTACCCTTAGCTGGCGCCTCTGCCCGGCCCTCCCCTCCATCCATCCATGCATTGAATTAACCGCGTTGAACAGTGTGAACAGTAGCAATATTGCACGCGAGGAAATGCGGCTCTTGGTGCCGGCTCCTGGACCATGGGTGGTTCTCTTAGCGAAGAGCCGCGCAAACACAATGTGCTCGCACGCATATATGGTTGTGCGCTGTGCGTTCTGCGCCCCGAAGGGGAAACATGTTTCGTTGTGCCTGTGTCATTTCATGTAAACTGAACCAGAGGCGAGGGGGGCGGCGCAACCATCTTTGATGCAGGGCTGCCACCCCCCCTCCTGCCCACGCCCGGTGGTGTGGTGTGGTTATGGCTATGGGTTGCTTCCCCCCTCCCCATAGTGTGGTGTGGTTTGGGGGGTCGGGTCTGCTTGGGGTGGTTGCCCCCTTCCCCGCCTGTGACGTGGTGTGGGTTTGGTTTTGCTTGTCGTGGGTCACCCCTGCGTGTTTGGGTAAGGAAGTCACGGGGATTTGGTGTGTCTGGACCCGAGAACTGGGATCATATAGATCCTCACCCTGTGCCCAAAACCCTAAACCCCAAAAACACTCTCCCATCTCTCCGCTAGTCTGCTGCTACACCGGCCTAGGCTTCGGTGGAGAGTAGGGCGTGGTCGGCGTCACCGGCATCTTGCAGGGCATCGGTACGTCCGAGGGGGAGGTTGGGGCTTCAGGCTTCCTTTCTTTTTTAGGGCTCCATCGTGGGTTTGAGGTTAAAGGTTGAAGGCTTTGGGGCCCTTTCCTATGGCTTTGCTGACTAGCTTCTGCAGAGACACGTTAAATAAACGGAAGAGGATTCACTGTAGCGCCACAGCAGAGCAACTCCCAATCCTTGAGGCTCCCATGGGAAAGTCTCGGCAGACTGAAACCGCTGCATATGCACTCGAAGCCTTCGGAAAGGAAGCTGCTACCCGCGTCTTGGGAGTTCCTGAAATCACCCCCAGGATGGCGCCCCTGATCGCCAGATCTCGGCCTCCGCCGATTGCCCACCAACTCCTTTCCTGGATGGATGGGGATCTTTTGAGCTCTATAGGGATGACTTTCCGGGGATCTATAGGGATTACTGTAAGACTGCAAGGGTTCTAAGGGTTCCATGTATGTGGGATCCAGGGGTCCGTGAGGGCCAAGCGAGATTTCGAAGGGTCTCGGGCGTTTCACGAACAGGTGTGTCCCGAAGCTACAGTAAGCAGCCTTTTACAGGAACCCCTGCAGTGACCTTTTATAGTATGTTACATAAGACTTTAACATCTCCTTCTATGATATCTTTTGGAGAACCCCTCCATGCTAGAAATCCCCAACCAGCCAGGGGCGCCTCCTCGGCGCTGGCGCCTCTTTGGGCGAATTCGGCGAGTGGGGCTTGAAGGGCTCGTGTATGGGTTCCTTTAAGGGTGTCTTTAGGGGCTCCTTGAAGGGGAGGTTGGTTTTGCGTTGGGCCTGTTTGTTTTGCATGGGGTCGAGGTTCTCCAAAGTTTCCAGGTTGGCTTCAGGGTGAGGGGCTTAAGGCTTAAGTGTTTTATTCACGGTTTGGGGGTCAAGCTTGAAGGCTCAGCTTTCGCGGCTCATGGACGGACCCTTGAACGCGTCAAGACTCCTACATGCCGAAGACTAGACCAATTCCAAATGGCCACAAGTCCTCGCTTCTCGCTTGAGATGTCTGGCCGGCAACCAGACGAAACACCCAAAACAACACACAATCAAAACAGCTCAAGGGAAAAACATCAAATGAGTGCACGTCATCCTGAACTCTTCTTCAATGAGATCCACAAAAGGAACCTTGCCTCAGAATCAAGAACCCGAGCCGGAAAACCCCTTGCTAAGCCTTACACCCGAAGCCTCGAAGACCCGGCCCCTAAAAGCCCCAGAAATGGTTGGCCAGGGTTTAGGGTTTCGGGCTCCTCCCACTAACTAAACCCTAGACCCTAAGCCCTAAACCCTAAACCCTAATTACAGGCCCTAAACCCTAAAATATCTCTAAAATCCTAAACCCACTAACCCCCCACCTCTCCACCACCGGCCGCGCCCCGCAGCTTCGCCCAGCGCGCCGCCGCCGCGGCCGCCGCGCGGGCGGCGGGGCTGCTGCCCTGTCTCAGGGCGGGCTTGCGAAGGCTTCGCAACGGAGCCCTCAGGCACGAAGTCCCATAGACCCTGAACCTCTCATAGCCTAAAAAACTTTCATACCATAAGTGAATTTACGAAGCCTTGTACCCTGTGAGCCCTACATCCGGCCGTCCCCGTGCCGTGCGGCTGCGGAAAGATCAAAGAAACCGATCACACATATTATCCCAGACGGTATCTCAAGAACGCATTTATCAAAACTAGAACGATCACCCCAAATCCGAAGCCCCACTCCCTCCTTACCCTCCTCCTCTCGGCTCTTCGTTTCACCTTGCCCGCGGCAGGTCCTCTACACCCCCCGGCTCCCGGAAACAACGCAGTGACGAGGAGCGTTCTGGCCCAAGGCTCCACATTGGGCTCAGAAGAAGCCACGTGGTAATGGAAGAATAGGAGTAACAGCAAGACCAAGAAGAGGAACACTAGTAATGATGCTAATCATCATGCTAATAACAATAATAATGAACATCGTAACATCATCATAACCATTGTAACAATAATAATCGTCCAACCAATAACAGTAATAATAATACTATAGCAATACTGAGAAATATTAATACTAATAATAACAACAATAACAATAATAATACTACACTCGGACCAGCATGGGAGACGCAGCCATCTCTCTTTTACATGCACGATGCCGAACTGGCTGCTGAATGAATCGTGAACGGTGGAAAACAGCCGAGAGCTCAGAGCCGTAAGGCTTGGCCGCACAATTCTGAGCTTGGTGAAATGCCCCTCATCCCACATCCTCGTGAGAACTGGCCATGGACATTGCAATCTCCCTGCACAGCATAATCGGGTAAGGACGTGCACGAGAAGCCCAGAGGACCCCAGTGCCGTCTTTGCCTTCTAGGTGAATATGCCGCCGTCCCGCGGCGCTGCAGCGGCCACGTGATGCTGAGCAGCAGCGAAGAAGCGGCAATTCACAGTTATGGCTGAGGAGACCTGTGCTTCTGCGCCAGGGCACTCGGTATTGGCAGTAATCCACCTGAAGCAGCTCTGCGCCATTATGCATGAGCAGCTTCACTTCATCCGTGAGCCAACATCGGGATGTCCACGGATTTTCAATCACCCACGGTATGGCTTGTTTTGAAAGCATGAGGGCCAACTGACATGTGAAGCGAAGCAGTTGATTCCCCAATTCCACCTTGCGCTGGTCGCTTGCTGAGAGACTCGTCCGCCCGTACAGAAACAAATTATCATCACGGAGCGGAGCGGGACCACCATCCCACTGGCGAGCTTTGCTCCAGCTTTGACATGGCATGCCAAACCAGACCAAAATCACATCATGTCGGAGGATGAAGCTGCGCACTGATTTCTCGACCTTCTTGTCAAGCAGATCACAGCCAGAGCCATAGTCTACATCAAAAGCAATTGCGTTGAAGCCTTGTTCAGCAAAAGCTTGTGCAAGATGGGCTGTGCCACTGAAGAGTTCGACGACCCATTTGTCAGTAGCACCTAGGCGCGAGTAAAAAGTCTTTGGGCCTCCTGTGGGAAATTCTCGGCTGCCTGGCGAGATGCTTGTTGCACCTGCTTCGGAAGCTTGTGGAATTCTTGATTGATCCGCGCATGAGCCTCGTACCTTTTGTGGATTTGTCGCTCATCCATCTGCCTCGTTTCTTGATTTCTTGAATAGTGCGGTACCTTATCAAATGATCGTGCGAAGGTCCTGAGTGCCTTAGCTGGTAGAGAACTGCGTGATTGTTGGCGAGCTTGATTCGAAGGAGCGCTGCCTGCCAGTGATTGCGGAGTTGATGATAATCCAGACCCAGCAGCAGCCCCCCAGCTTCGCGGCCACGTAACTTTTCCAGCATTCTTCCCAGGAACGGCACTGTAGGACTGTCCAGCATCACGGATTCGTTGGACAACCCCATTTTGGAAGTTTCCATCCGCTCCTCGGGATGGAGGTTGAGCGTGTAGTGCGGATGAACGATAGAGGGTTCCACGAGATCCTCGTTTCTGAGGCTCAGTGCTTCTCCAGGACGAAGGTATGCAACGAACATGAGCAGCACTGCTACTGCCGACTTCAGCTGTTTCGCTTTCAGCATAGTCAAAACGAGGTATGTAACAAGAGGCCACGGCAGTGGTGGACGCGTTCTTCCTGGATCCAGTTTGTGCCACCCTTGCAGAGCTCTTCTCGACCTCTGCAGGCTCCCTTTCTGGGAAAAGGATGGGTATGCATCCATGACTGCGGCCAGTGACTTGCTGCCGTCTCCCAGATCGCAGCCTTCCTCGAACAAATGATTGAGATACTCGCATAAGGTGCCATCGAATTTCGTCTTGTGGAGACTCAAATGGTTCTGCTTTGCAAAGGCTCTGAACTGCCGCATCCTTTCCGAATAATCCTTGGCCACTGCCACTGTGACGGCTGCACGTTCCAGGCGAGTCTGACCCTGAAAACGAGGCTCCATCGCATTCTGGTCCAGAAACTTTCGCCGTTTCTCGGCCTTGACTTCTTTGGAGGGGCCTTCTAAAGATGTTCGGATGGCTGCTTGGGGACGTTTGCGACTCGTCGGAGCCCTGGCTTGAGAGCTTTCCGAGTGCAACACTGACATCTCCTGATTCGCAAGCGGATTGACGCCAAGATTGCTTTGACGCCGACCACTTGAGATCCCCAGCAGCATGCTGCACGCGGAGGTGCTCCCACTTGCGAGAGCCTGCGTCCGCAACGTTCCACTCACTGGGCACCCATCTGCAGGTTAGTGAGGAACCGAGCGCAATGATAAGACAGGCCAGACGTCGGCAGACCTTCAAAATGTCCATGGAGGAACTACGCCCCTTGTCTACTGCAAGTACCATGCCAAGGTTGTCATTGATGTGCAAATGTCTCTTTCCAAATGCCTCTAAACATCTGGCCTTATGACGAATAGCAGCAACAATGCCCCGCCCCTCTAACAACGTGATGTGCTCCTCAAACTGCATGCGCTGATTGAATGCAAGGTGCCACTCGCCAGGTTCCATGAAGCTTTGAGGTAGTTCGGTGAAGTTCTCACTAAGCTCGAACGGATCCAGTCTATACGCTCCTTGGGGCTTGACCGTGGCAGGGTCCTCAAATGGGTCCCCAGCTTGTTGAAGCACCAAGCGCGGCCTACTCTCAGGGGCCACCCCTTTGAACCTCCAGTTTTCGCGAGTTCTTCCAATGACTGACACTTGGGTGGGCGATGCACTTCGAAGACACACGGCTATGCCCGACAGCGAGGCATCCGAAGCACTGACTCTTTCCGACCAAGGGCGAGTCAGATCAGTCGAGCACACCCTCAGCAGGTTGGAAATCCACCTGGCTTCCCGTGCAGCACTTGACCATAACCGATGCTTGCCTGCCCCCATGCGCTGAACAAAATCATAGAGCCCACGCATGGTGCTGAGCAACTCCCTACGGACCATCATGAAATGCACCGCGTGTCCCAAAAGTTGCTGAACTGCTTTGGTACTTACCCGCGGCCTTCGAGCGAACCATCGGAAGCAAACCACCACTCGATGAAGCCTCTCCGGAATGGGTGTGACCAGGCCCCGCTTGCCATCAATGCGAAACCCTAGGGAGTCTACCGCGTCGACAGCATCAATCTCTTCATGCACCAAAAATCCCAACCGACGGAGCCTGGAGACGGCGCCGTCTTTAGCGATCTGCACCTTGCGAGCATCAATGCCGGCAACATTGAGGTTATCCGCGTAGGGCAACAATACTGGCTCTCCGTTGCTGAGGTCAGGGGCGGGTTTGTTGTCTACCAGGACCCGGTCGATGCTGAGACCTGACCCAAGCATGGCTTGATGCTGATGGACCCGTTGTGAGATGTACATAGCCCAATTCCAACCCATAGGAACCACTCGAAGCATGGGATATACCCAGCCTCCTCGATCCGTTCCATTCCACTGCTCGCTCCGTAGCCCCCACCTGCACACATGAGCTGAGGACACCGGAGGCAAACAAAATAGTGATCGCAAACTAGCGGGAAGCTGCAGGCTGTAGAAGTAGTCCTTTATGTCAGACTGCGCCATGTACAACGTCTCCCCCTTCTGAATAGATAACTGACTCCACGATGCGCCTGACCCAAGAGCCAGCGGAGGAGGAGGGCGGAAACGACGGTTCACACCTCGACAATCCAAGATAAGTCTGAGCTTCTTGTTTTTCTTTATCACGAAGAAAGGCGTGACCGAGTCTTTGGGCTCTGACGTGAATGAAACCATGCCCGCATCCGCGAGGTCCTTCACAAAGACGCTATACTGGGCAGGATCCTTCCTCAGAACTTCATCCATATATGGACTGAATCCCTCATGGCTCTCGATTTTCTCTCCCCACTCATCTGAATTCAAAAGCATACATCTGGAAGGGTCCTCTACGATGTCCCGGCCGCTATCGTCAAGCACGTCACTGAGTCCCACAGCCTGATGACCACAGGAAGGTATGCTGACTAGGCCCCTCTCGTAAGGACGAACCGTCGTCGAAGCCTCGTTGCCATCGTAGGCGAGGCTGGTATGCAGGAGCTCTTGAACAGCCCCACACTCCGACAAAAATGTACTCGGCAAGGAACTTCTGGCCACTGCCTTGAAAATCTCATGCTGCGCCGCCTTCTGCGAAGCCGTGCAACCCGAGCCACAAAAGTCGCCATCTCGGCTAGGAGCATACATCTCGTTCAAGACCTGGATGATCGAATTAGTTTGCTCGACATGTTGTCGAACCTTCGCGCGACGGCGCCTAGAGCAGATTGACGAACCCGAAACTTGAGGCACCTCCTCGCAAAGTGGTAAAGGAAAGAGCTCGCGGTTGCGAGCGGCCAGGTCATGAGAATCTCCTTGAAATGAATTCCCCACTCCGGACATGCAATTGACTTCTGCTTCCGGCATCGCCTCGGTCACTGGCGACACCAGTCCTTCTGTGCTCATGCGACCCCGCCGCCATCGGCCTGGGCCTTTGCTTTGGCCTTACCGCGGCGGCGTGCATCTTGCTCCTCTTTTGCTTTGCGGCTTTCCTTGAGGATCGCGGCCTCAGTCTTGAGTTCACCAGCAACATAGGCAGAGAGCTCACTGTCGATGCCAGCTGCCGCCTTCTTGTATTTCCAACCCATGTAATAATCAGCACTGCTGTAGTCCGGATTGCTTGGCGAAGCTCGATGGGCCTGACGAATCACCTGAAGTCGCCTAAAGATGAGCTCGGCAGACTGCAAGGCAGGCACATTCAACTGGTCTACAATTATCATCGCATCCATGATGCGCGACAGGCACTCATGCTCATATGTAGACCTGTCTCCGCGTGGAATCTCTGACGTTCTCAGCCAATGCTCATGGAAGGTGCTAGGCGTGAACTGCTGATCTCGCATGTCCTTCAGAAGCTTCAAAGCTGAGCTCGGGCCTGACAACTGAAGCCCACCACCTTGTGGAGGGTCATCGTCCATCAGACTCACAGCAATAGAAAACTCTTTGCGCCTAACCCCCTGAGCATCGAAAGAGATAGGCAACAGTCTGATGTCAGTCAGTCGATGCTTGGATACCTCTGCCGCTGCCACTTTGCGAACGAACAGTACATCCCCTCCTTCGGGGATCATCCCTTTGTCTCCCATCAAGACGTGGCCATTTGGCAACGGGTTTGGATCTACTGCAACCACATCGCCGCGCTTGTACATGATGCCATCCTCGACTGCAATCCACGTGTCCTTATCAGACCCTGCAGGAGCAGCCACCACCGGAGCTACAGCTTCGGGATTCGACGGTCCAGGAGAAACCTGCCCCCCTGCAACCACTAATCCTGCTGCTCCAAGAACCCTCGCGGCTTCGGCTTGGACTTGATTGAAGTAGTTCCGCAGGTCTTGGGGCGTCATTGGGGCGAAGCTGTAGACGTTGCGGGGGTTGATGCGTGGCGGAATGACCCCATCTGCGCCACACATGTGGAACCCGACAAAGTCCGGATTGTTGAGACTCATCTCTTCTTCGTACAAGTCGTGATCAGGAGTGAGTATGATCCAGTTGGAGCCCTGTGTAGGAGCTAGAAGAACCCGCATGTGCCACAAGGTAGGCCTCTCGCCGTAGTTTACCAAGGCGATGTCTCCCGGGTTGATTGTCACAATGTCAGCTGAAGGTTCCTGGTAGGAGCGCCGTAGACTCCCTTGCCTTTGCGAGGCACGCTGGGCTCAGATGACAATGGCTTTTGAAACAACCAGAATCCGAAACAAAGCAAGGTGATCAGCAGAAGCCCCACTCCCAGAAGGACGAAGTTCCACTGGGATCCTTCTGGCGCGCACTTACAGACACACGTGCAAGGCGAGCCAACGGCTTCTACCTTACTCTCGCCCCCCAGGAAGTCTTTTCCGAGCCAGCCGACAGCAACAGCTGCGGCTAGAGGAACCCAGCTCACGTCCATGGCCGACCCTATCTACCTTTGAAGGCTTGAGCGGCATATTAGCGGCCCACACGTTCCACACTTCATTATCGAGTAAACTCTGCCCAAATAATAACAAAAATGATAATAGCAAGAGTAGCGAGTACTAATAATCATAACAATAATAATAACAACAACAAAAAACACTAATAATAGTGATAGGAACAATAAACGTAGTATCAACAACAAGAACAAATAACAACAACAGATCCGTTCTTCCTGAGAGCCCGGGGGCACAGTATGTACAAGCGACCAATCGGAGCTAGCCCCTGGGTGTCGAAGTGCCGAAGCCACGCGGCTTTGGGCTTTGGAAGCTTCTCAGGCATCTTAGAGCTTTAGGGACCTTGGGGCTTTAGGCGTTTTGGGGGGTTTTCGGGGGGGTTTAGGGATCTTAGGGGTTTTAGGGGGGTTGGGGATCTAGAGGTTTTCGGGCTTTAGAGGCTTAGGGGTTTGAGGGTTTAGGGTACCTAGCAAAGGGCTGGCTGTGGGGGTGAGCTCTGCAAGAATCCGCAGGCTCTGAAATTGAAACGGTATTTGCTGGTAACCAACTACCTAACGATGATCACAATACACATGGCACTGGTCGCAGACAAGTATGACAATGCTGCGGTCATGATGTTCACGACCACAATAAGGAACGAGACACCGGCTAGACAAATCGCGAGGAGCAATAACACAAAGAGGCCAGGGGGAACTTGAAATGATGAAGCCTCTTCCGGAGCGATCCCGCATTTGTACTGGAAGACGGCTGGGCCCCATGAAGTTCAGAGCTTTGGGGGAGGTGCCGGGGAGGCACGACTTCGACACGCGCAAGGCGTTCTGAGTGCGACGTCCCTGGGCCCTGGCTGCACACTTGGGCCGCCAGTTTGGGCGCTAGATGTCGCTCTTCGACGCTCTCTTGTTGGGCGCCGGGAGGTGTTGCTAAACCTTAGGCTTGAAGCTGCCCTGCCAAGGAGGCCCTCCACATGCCGAGCCTGCAAGGCCAAAAGGCTTCCGGGCTCTCGAATTCGGGGCTCCGGGCTTGGGCTTACTTTGCTTTGTGTTTGTTTGTTTCATGTTCAGGGGTTAGTAGGGCATAGACCATGGAGAGTTTGTGTTGGGGATCTTGGTCGGAACGGTCTGCGGGAATTCGTCAAAGGTGCCGATCTTGTCGTAGAGGGCGGAGCATGCTTGCAAGAAGGATGAAGCGATCTCGGACCATGTTCAGTGCAAAGTTCCCAAGATCCCCACCACCACACCCCACTGCAGCAGCGTTGCCCCCGCCCCCGCCACCGGCAGCAAACACTGCCTCATAGCTTAGAGTCGTGATCTCGGTATCAACACTCTGAGAGCAAGGACCCAGCCTGAACTTCTCCTGGCCCAAGAACAGGAGCTGCGAACCTGGCGCTTCGGCCGGATCTTTGTCTGTCAGGTTGATAAAGGGTGTAGTTGGAAGGGAAGGGCGCTCCTGCGGGGCTTACACCATCGAGTGGATGTATCTGTAATCACATCATGCTGTGAAGCGGCCTCCTCTGTCTTTCACCAGGTGGAGTCATAACCAACAACTCCGAGAACACAAGCTGATCCCAAATCGACAATCTAGGCAAACCTCCTAATCTGCAACCCCTCGAAGACAAGGTATTCCCCAAATAACGTGCCTCCCGCACCAGCCGCACACACATGACGAGGCTGCCTGGATGTTGTGGGGTAAAGGTGCACTATATGGATTTTGAGCAAAGCCACTACCACCCGTCGGACATGGTTCCCGCGTAAGGCACGGATAAAGTTTTGGGGCAACGAAGCCCGAAAGTGCCAACCCTGACGCCGGAAAGCCCATTCAACCCTCTCAAGCCCCTGAAGTCCCTTATAGAGACCTGACAGAACCCATAAAGGAACCCAACAATATCAGATGCAGATCGATGCTGAGAACACCACGCCGGCCATCGAGGGAGCCACATGTCCATCAGCTGCCCCTCTTGCCTTGCTTCTGAAAAAAAAGGTTGAATTTTGCCAGGTCTAGGGCCGAACCAAGGAGACAACCGACAAAACTCCACACAAGCCGGGCCGGTGGGCCTGGAAGCTTCTAGGGCATTCGGGTTGCTGGGTGTTGGATTTAGCCTTTAGCCTTCAGGGGTTTGGGAGTCATCCTTGTCACTGGACAGATTTGGGCAAGTCTTGCGGCTAGAGAACAAATCCAAAATCATGGCTACAAGTCAACCCATGCCCAGCACGAAGCTGGAACCTTGACGTAAGGATCCTCTAACGAGTTGGCCTCCGAACCATGATAACCGAAAAAACGCTTATTCAAGTCCCTTCTAGAACCACTTAACACTCGAAGTCTAAACTCGGAAACCTCGATCAAAGGCCGCTGCTGGAATCCTGGAACCCCTTCTTGAACTACCTACCCCCCTACCCAAAGCCCCTTACAGAACCCCTCCTAGAACCCCACAACGAAGGGAAACCCCCCCTAAGCCCCTTCAGCCACTTCCCCTCTGCGAGGCCCCTGGCAGGTCGAAGGCAGCCAGCCGGCCGCTGGTCGAGAGGACCTCGGCAGCTCTCCAAAAGTAGCTTGCATCTGGGCTTCAGGGTTTCGGGGGGTTTAGGGTTTAGGGTTCAGGGCTTTTGGGGGGCTTTAAGGGCTCGGGACAAGGATATGGAGTTCAAGCTGGCGAGAAGTTTCAGAGTCTCGCAGTCGCAGGCTTCCGGTGCCCCGACGACGGATGCCGAGGGTCGCAAGGCGCGCAGTTCAACTTGAGACCCTCCCAACATCAGCTTGACGGCTTGCAGGGTTTAGGGTTCTAGGGCAGGCTCTCTAGACACCTCGAGAGCGCAAGACTCTTCAACCTCACAGATCTAAACCCTCCCAGCCCTAGCCCTCGCGTCACAAAGGCTGTTGCTTGTGGGGGCATGCAGGACAACATGAACCCCTGGAATCAGCTTGAGCCGGAGTTCCATCTCCAATAGAGTTGCACGTAAACGCAGTCAGGAACACCTCTGAAAAGGACAATCCCGCGCCAATATCAAGCATCAAAGCTCTACGCATCCCATCAACATAGTGTTTATCATAGTAACATGAACAATGGGAAGAAGATGCTGAAGATACAGTTATAGTTGTAGGTGGAGCTGTCGTTACATTAGCTGTACTTACAGCTGTAGCGGAGCCAATGGTTCAAAACGACTTCCAGAAGCACCAGCCGCGACAATGTTCCCAAGGGCCCTGCCCAAAGCCTTCCGGTCGCCTGGTAGCCAGGGGCTCTGCTCCCTTGAAATGTTTTGTAAGACCTCCAGGGCTCCATCCCCGCCATCGCCCCAAACAGTTAGACTAGGCTTTAGGAGGCAGTGGAGCTGCATAGGGAGTACGGGAGTTTAAGCAGGATGTTGTTACGAATGTAGGAACTTGCTTAAGAAACCTCGGTCCTCTAACCCCCAAAGTAGGAGGATCCATCTGAAGAGCCATCATAGAGACCCAAAGTGTCTTAATCAGGTTCCTCCATGACTAACGGCCCCCCCGCCCCCCCTCCAGCCCAGTGCAGGCCTCCATCGAAAGGCTCTCGACGGCAGGGGCCTGGAAGGCTAAGGGACCCGACAGTTTCCACGAAATCCGAGAGCGACGGCTTTAGGGGTTTGAGGTTTAGGGCTTTTCACGGTTCAAGGTTTAGGGCAGTTTAGGGTCTTGGGGTTTAAGCTTTAGGGTTTAGGTTCACGACGATTCCTTCAATTGCGCTTGGAGAGAAAAGCTTCGAAGGCGCGGCGAGGATGGGTTCGATGGTGGCAATGCCGACCGCGGGCCTCCACCCCACGTGGTAAAACCCTAGTTGACCCCTTCATGCATCAGTCTTCTATGCATGAATATGCATGTACACAGGTAGGTATGTACATACCTAGGTAAGCATGTATGCAATGCGCATTACGTGTCACTGCATTTCTGCTGTTCATATGTAACCATACATACATGTTCTGTACATATGTGCATATATATATATATGTGTGTGTGTGTGTGTGTGTTGTGTGTGTGGTGTGTTGTGCTGTGCTGTGCTGTGCTGTGCTGTGCTGTGCTGTGCTGTGCTGTGCTGTGCTGTGCTGTGCTGTGCTGTGCTGTGCTGTGCTGTGCTGTGCTGTGTTGTGCGTTGCGTTGTGTTGCGTTGCGTTGCGTTGCGTTGCGTTGCGTTGTGTTGTGTTGTGTTGTGTTGTGCTGTGTGTGTGTCAAACACATACATACATACATACATACATACATACATACATACATACATACATACATACCATACA